TTTAGCCATTTTTATGATTAAGGCCTTGTCCACACGGACACGGGTATTTTTATAACCGGAGTTTTTCCTACAGCGTTTAAAAAAAAAATCCCGTCCACACATGCTCGGTCTCCGTCTACATGAAAACGCAAAAACACGCTATCAAGCGCGGTCAAGAGCATGACACGCCAGCAGGCGGCGATATAACCCTTAACCATAAAGCCACGTTGGCCAATCAGAAGCGCAAATCTGACGTCAAACACAGCGGATAACGGCGCACACTCTGACGTCGCAAGGCAAAAACCCCGGTTTCACTGTCTACACGACAACACTGTAACCGGCGTTTCTGAAAATCCTCACCCTGGCAGGGGTTTTCAAAAATGTTCGGTTTCAGTGCGTTTTCGTGTGGACGAACGGCCGAACCGCGTAAAAAAAGTCACGGTTATAAAAATACCCGTGTCCGTGTGGACAGGGCCTAAATGTCAGGGCCCCAAACCCCCTCAGACCCCAGAGGGTTAATACTAGGAGAAATTCAGCCCTTTCAAAGTTGGTGACCAGATGTGGATGAATGATCCAACCACAGAAATAAAGAAACTTGAGCCAAAATGGACAGGACTACACTCACCTAAAGGATTATTAGGAACACCTGTTCAATTTCTCATTAATGCAATTATCTAATCAACCAATCACATGGCAGTTGCTTCAATGCATTTAGGGGTGTGGTCCTGGTCAAGACAATCTCCTGAACTCCAAACTGAATGTCAGAATGGGAAAGAAATGTGATTTAAGCAATTTTGAGCGTGGCATGGTTGTTGGTGCCAGACGGGCCGGTCTGAGTATTTCACAATCTGCTCAGTTACTGGGATTTTCACGCACAACCATTTCTAGGGTTTACAAAGAATGGTGTGAAAAGGGAAAAACATCCAGTATGCGGCAGTCCTGTGGGTGAAAATGCCTTGTTGATGCTAGAGGTCAGAGGAGAATGGGCCGACTGATTCAAGCTGATAGAAGAGCAACTTTGACTGAAACAACCGAGGTATGCAGCAAAGCATTTGTGAAACCACAACCTCTGATGGCTACTTCCAGCAGGATAATGCCCCATGTCACAAAGCTGGAATCATTTCAAATTGGTTTCTTGAACATGACAATGAGTTCACTGTACTAAAATGGCCCCCACAGTCACCAGATCTCAACCCAATAGAGCATCTTTGGGATGTGGTGGAACGGGAGCTTCGTGCCCTGGATGTGCATCCCACAAATCTCCATCAACAGCAAGATGCTATCCTATCAATATGGGCCAACATTTCTAAAGAATGCTTTCAGCACCTTGTTGAATCAATGCCACGTAGAATTAAGGCAGCTCTGAAGGCGAAGGGGGGGTCAAACACAGTATTAGTATGGTGTTCCTAATAATCCTTTAGGTGAGTGTATACCACGGGTATCCGGGTATCATTTATACAGTGTATTGGACCTGAGAAATATTAATGCAGAACCTAAAGTTGTTATGAACGCTTAAAGCCTTACAGGTCCAGGTGGAAGGAACCAGCACTAACTTCCCAAGGTGCTGGTCAAGATGTAGACAGAAGTGTCCAGGAGTTGAGACCAGTATCAGGGCCGCTGGTTGGTAAGAATAGGCCCCCAGGTTGGGCCTCCTCAGAAGTTGGGGAGCACGCGTCTGAGGATGCGCTAACTCGTTCAAGACACGACCTAGAATGCTTTCGTGTTGATGAATAGTATATATTGCACTTTTGTGATTGGTTTCAAGGTTTTACACTGTAAGAACATGTATTTTAACATGGTGTATTTGTTTTCTGCACAAAATCTGTGATGGTTTTATGTTATGATGTGTTAGAGAAAAAAACAAACCGAAAACACACGAGGTGATGAAAACATGTTTATTTTGTACAACGGTTACAAACTGTTTGATATTGCCTGTCATGGCATGTTATATCCCTTATATGTCCTGTTAACTCTGTGACATTTTGAAATGTGATTTTGTTGTCTGTATATATGAAATGAGGACAGTTCTTTTTCTAAGGGGGGAGATTTATTTGTGCATGATAATTTTGTGTTTATGTAATTTGGGTAATTTGGTTACTGTTCACGGGTGATGTAACTGACTCTATTATAAGGATGGGGAGTTGGAGCGCGGACACGTGTAGTTATGAGCAGTAGAGAGTGTGTTAACAAGAGCGACGTGTGTGAAGCAAACTGTAATGCATGGTGTTCCTAACCGCATGAGCTCTGACAAATAAAAGTCAATAAAGCTTCATGCAGTATCTCCACGTATGCCTGCAGTATTATCTACAACACATCTACGAGAGACAGTCCTCCTCTGTTTCACAGCCACTCTTACACAACCACATCCATGTCATTCTACAGGAAATAATCAACGGCACATTTCTCACGGCTAGGTGATATCTCTGGGAAAAATATTAGGAGCAAAGTGATTCGATTTTCTGATATGAATGTAGACGGCACACAAACAGCAAACCGATTCTGTGCTGATAATAGTGTTCATATTCTCATAAAATAATTTTCAAGATACTCATATGACACCTAATTTTAATGAGTATAAACGAATCAGAAATTAAACATGCCCACGTGTATAATGCAAAACTATCAAGATGCATATATCCAAAAATATACAAAACCGGTGCTTTGCTCAGCTGGATGGTTAATGCAATAGGGTTAGAAATCAAACAGTGTATCTTTCTCTTAACTGTAAATGATGTTTTACTGTATGTAACCAGAAATGTTTGCTTTTCTGTCATTTTTGCTACCGAACAGTTGCACCCGTTCAGTCATTTGGAAGAAAAACAAAATGTTAATTTTTAATGCAGCAGTGAAAAACAAAATGATCTAAACATCTGATTATGCCGCAACACTTTGGCAATTCTGAGATTTTAGCACACAGTGTTTTTAGTTGCATTTGTTTTGGTGTTTTTTATGCACTATATTTTACAGTATGTGTACTTAAAGGGATACTCCACTTTTTTTGGAAATAGGCTCATTTTACAACTCCCCCAGAGTTAAACTGTTGAGTTTTACCGTTTTTGAATCCATTCAGCCGATCTCCGGTTCTGGCGGTACCACTTTTAGCATAGCTTAGCATACATCATTGAAGTGGACAAGACCATTAGCATTTCTCAAAAAAAAAATGACCAAAGAGTTTCGATATCTTTCCTATTTAAAACTTGACTCTTCTGTAGTCACATTGTGCACTAAGACCGACGAAAAATGTAAAGTTGCGATTTTCTAGGCTGATATGGCTAGGAACTATACTCTCATTCCTGCGTAATAATCAAGAAACTTCACTACCGTACCATGAGTGCAGCAGGCGTAATGATATGACGCAGCGCCTGAAAATGCTAATGGTCTTGTCCACTTCAATGATGTATGCTAAGCTATGCTAAAAGTGGTACCGCCAGAACCGGAGATCGGCTGAATGGGTTCAAAAACGGTAAAACTCAACAGTTTAACTCTGGGGGAGTTGTAAAATGAGCCTATTTCCAAAAAAAGTGGAGTATCCCTTTAAGAAAGTACTGGGTAACTACATGGGTTAAGGTTAGGTTCTGGGTTAGTACCTAGTTATTACCCAGTTTTTGTAATACTATACTACCTCTATTCTTCGTGATAACACTTGAGCGGCGGTGCTCAACACCAAACATATTTATGGACTCAGAATCATAGTTATCTACCTGGGGTACGATTTCTGAACTTAATGATTTATTAAAATAGAAAGTGGGTTGTGCTTGCATATGTTACATTTTATTAATGATGCTGTAATTTATTTGTTTCCCATGTATGCATGTTAATGTTATAAAGATACTATTTAATACATGCATGCATGTCATTTGCTAACTGCAACAAATAACACACACAGTAACGTATCAATCTACAGATTATCTACTAAATTCATTGAAATAAGTTTTTTTTTGTTAACTGAAATGTCATCCTATGTTTAAGCCCGATTTATTCATTTACAATATAAATTAATACGTGGAAAAAAAAAAAAGCATGTAGACATTTTGCAGTTTGTTTGACAACATTCTGTTACATGTGTTTGGAAATGACAGTGCTAGTAAAGGAAAACCTCTTTTGTAAACTAAATAAAATAATAATAATAATGGGGGAAGAATATGACTATAGTAGACTACAGAATACTCACCCCATCAACTGAAAGATGAGCTGGACTAACTTTGGGTTAATATTTATTTAGTGGGTATATACCACACCTATCCGAGGATGGATAGGAGGCTCATACTGATACCCAAAAGGATGCAAAAATTGAAAACAGTACTTTTACATATAACAATATCATTGTGCATTTATAAATGACAGACATCTAGAAGTGGCCATAAATGATGTCAAATGTAGCTGGATTGTTGAAGTTAAGCTTTCCTGACCCCCTTTTTTTTTTTTTTTTGCCAGTAAGACGTTTGCTAATTTTGGCTGGCCTAAAAGGTGCATGCATTATACAGTATTCATTATTTACAACATTTGTACAGGTGACCAAACGTTAAACCAGCCGCGACCACACATGAAAAACTCTTTTCAAACACTTACATTTGATCTGTAGAATGCACAAATAATAAAATGCTAGGACATATTTGTTCATATTTGATTGATTGCTTTTACCTCATATAGGCCTGACAGCCATGCATTTGGATCAAGTTTCTCCAAATCTCTTTAGTGCTTGCTCTCTAGGGGCCTAAAAGAACATGTAGGCATGCAGTACTCACATGTTCTGCCTTTCGCCCAACCAATTCTGAATGAATAATCTTACAGATGCACTGTTTGCCCCTTCTGCTTGTGTGTGTGTGTTTTTTTTTTTTTTTTTTTTTTGCTACAACTTTTGCTTTATGCACAAGATATACTTTCGAGAAAAAAAAGATGTAAACATAGACAAACCAACAATTCACATGTTACATTAGTGCACAAAAATCGTAAACTTTCAAATAAAATAATAAATAAATAAATAAATAGTAAAAATTGCACATAACATAGACTGGAAAAACAACAACAACAACACACTGCAACTAAATGTTTTCAATGGGTTCCCGTTTCCAAGAAAGGGTCTTGCTGGAATCTGTAACATAAAATAAGGCCAGCCTTTGTATATAGGCCTATATATGTATTTTTTAAAGATAGAGATATGAAAACCAGTAAACTACATTGAATAGACCAAATGCAGTAGGAAAGAAAATGCGGGCGTAAGAGTCTATCTTAGCGACACGGATGTGCAAACGGCCGTGCCGCCAGGCTCCTGAGCGACAGTCCTCAAAGCAGCAGAAGAAGCTGGTGCAGTCCTTCCCGTCCAGACACTCGTAGCCGTACTCCTCGTCCCGCTCCTGCATGTGGGTGGCGTTGTTCATCTGGATGGCGGTGGCTGAGCGCGGGCGGATGTCCACGGTGGGGGCCTGCTTTTAGAAGGAAACACAATCAGCACGGGTCACATCAAACACGCGGGACATGTCCGCCAGCCGCCAGGGTCTGCGTTTAAAGCTCTGTCAATACAGAGTGTATTAAATGGAATGTATTAAATGATATGTAACTGCGATATTTGGCTGTAAAAGAATTTACTACTTGAATGAATACTAAATTAATATTATGGCTGTTCAATGTACATTTATCTGTCTTTGAATTTGTTTTATACTGTTGTTCAATTATTATAGTACACTAGGAGTGGTTCCCAGACGTTTTATCCCCGGAGGCATTTCACATCCTCTCTTGTCCACTGTCGATTTTCCATTAAATCGACAATATTTGCCCCTTCAATTGATTTTCAGGTGCATTTTTGCTTTACCAGAGCCCGTCTAACGGAGAGCCTTGGCACTTCCTATTGGCCCAATTGTGTCTCATATTGGTTGCAGTTCCATTATAATTCCACTGGAGGTGATCGCGGGCGAGTGCAGAATGAATGGGAGTCTATGGAGCTAAACGGCTAAATGTATCTCTTTCTCCTGCTTGTCGTTGAATCAACATAGATTTTATTGTCGATTCCGCAAGTTCAATATAGATTATAGGCCAAAAGTCGAATGAACGAGTACTTATGTCCTTTCGATTTCTTACCGGTTGGGCCGTTGTTGGCCGGAACACGCTAGCATTCTGCTATTATGTGACGTCATCATCACATTTTTGAACGGATTTTTAGAACAGATAAGTGAACTTAAAAATGCAATTTTCAGCTGAGTGTATTATCTTAGCCCTCCCTTTTGAATGCAACTTTCAAAAAATTACTTGACAAAAAATTACATCCTGAGAAAAGTGGATTTCTGGGGGTGAAACCCCATAGACTCCCATTCATTCTGCACTCGCCCGCGAGCGCCCCCCGCATGGACAGAGACGTGTTACTGCAGCCAGTCCAGAAACCGGAAGTAACCAGACAGTGCCAATTCTCTTCAATTGGACATTCTCTGGCTTTACCAAAAGGCAAAGTTTTTCAAACCCTATTTAATGTGTCATGTCAAATTTTGAATATTTCATTAATATAATAAATAAAGCAATACATTCAAGTAAATCAATCGTTTCAATCAAATGAAATTGGTATCTACTAAAGCCATCCAATTTTCCGTCATTTATGAGACAATGGACACTTCCGTTGACGGACACTTCCAGCTTTCCGTGTTTTCACTGTTATACGCTAGGGGGCGCTATTACACATCTTCTGAAAGATTACTAAATCTCCAGATCAAAACACATGAAAAGACGACGCAGAAACAAGCGATATCATGTGTAATCATATGCATATGTAAAATAACACGATCACGACATTAAACAACATCATCAAAACTGTTGCTGAATGAAATGTCGACCAGGACGAGCTTTAGGACTGTGAAGCTTTGGGAGTGTTGATGGACTCGATCTACTCCATCTGTGTTTCGATCATCGTCCTGAATCTGATCTGGATGTAGTCTTTGACAAACACTTGATTTTCTCAGCTTTTTTTTAATGAAACTTACCCAGATTCAAGTGTTGAGCTAGAATAAAACGTGTTTTTGTTTAAGAGCAGGGGCTCTGTTCTTTCTTTGGATATGCTGCATGTTCAGATATTCATAAAAACGAAATATTCTGGACTTATAACAAGTTAGTGACTTATAACGAAATAAGTCACTGTCTTACTGAGTGAGTCATCCAGCCGTTCATTCATTCAGTAACAAAGCAAATGGCTGTTTTTAAGAATGAGTCATTAGCTGCGTTTCCATCCAAAGTTGCGAATTTAACTTATGCGCAAAATTGGAATATCGCATAAAACAATTGCAAATAAAGCACCGTTTCCATCCAGTGAGTCGAAGAGAACAAAAATGTCACTTCCTGATTAACCGGCACTAAATATCACTAAGAAAAGAAGGAGAAGCAACTGTAGCTACATAATCATTTTTGGATATAATAAATGACTCTCAGAGCTTTCAGATGAAATGCAGTAAACGTGTTATCTTGCTGTTTGAGAAAGCAGTCGTGTAAGAGAGTTCTGGGACCGAATCACTTTGACGATAGACTTGCTCCGTGATTTCAGAATGACCAAAACAGCATTTAGTAGTTATGTCGTCCCACCGTGCAAATTTGCATGATTAAGTCACATGATTTTGTTTTTATGTGGATCATGGAATTTATTTGGTAAATTGGTTTCCATCGCATGTTTTCTTGTCAGAGGAAAAATTCATCCGACTCAATCAAGCGCATACCTTTTTTATACGCATTTTTAAGAATTTATGTGCATCTTGTGTTTTCTATCCAGACGTTTTTGATGCAATATCCCAAAATGCGCATAGAAATGGGTGGATGGAGACATAACTATTAAATCATTCACTAACGAAACACCGCTGTGTGTTGAAGACACATTAGAACTATTCATTAGAACTATTATTATGTAGAAAAATAGGACAAACGATATTGAAAATATTGTTAAATATGTATGTCACTGAACATTACCTTTTTGTTTGTTGAACTGTTGTATAAAATCAGTCGCATTTGCGCATAATCGTGTGGTTATTCAGAAAAATATTTCCTTATTGCTTGTATAATATATGATCAACATTAAAAACAAGAACTCACACAAGGTATGTTTCTGTATTTAAAGAGAGTTTGAGTCTTGAATCGATCTCTATGCACTCTCTGTTTCTATATTTGGTCTTTATGCAAGTAAGTGCTAAAACCACACTTTTTTTTCTTGAGAACGGCAGTAATATCGAGCGATTTTTTAAGGCAGCATCCTCTGCATGCAATCTATCATACCTGTATTCATATTGCTTGCGTGGATGCACTCAGTTTTGACCGCAAAAGATGAGGTAATTTGATTGGATGACCTTTAACGGCACTACCATTTCCCCGTTTACACTAGATGCAGCATTTTGCCCGTTAGAAATACATGCTCGGTTTTAATGTTATTTTAAGGTGGTGTCGAATTAAACGAATGGCAAAACTCAGCATTTTGTTCGCGTACCCCGTTCTGTCACCTCGCGTACCCCTGTTTGGGAACCACTGCACTAGTTTATGTGTTCTGCAAAAATAATAAAACATAAGTGCATCATTTATTTGGCAAAAATGTCATCAGAACGATGCAGGATAAAAAGATAAATGTTACTAGAGCATAGACTATACATGGCTTTTTCAAACAGGGCACTGTGTGTCAAAATGCAGAAGAACAGCTAAATAATTAATTATTAATATCCATTCAATCTTGTATCTTTGCCAGCAACAGTACTGAAATCTATGTTTAAATATACATTTGAAACACACAAATGTTACAAGACCTGATTGTCAATATTTCCCAACAAAGCCAAGTGAAACAGGCTCATTGGGACATATCCACATTTCTGGACTCACAATCATTTTGCCCAGCATTGGAAGGGTGCTTCAAATCCCTTTGAAAAACGAAGCACAACCAGATGTTCATGCTGGCTTCTCCGAGTGTACATTGTGTAGCTTTTAGGACAGAGCCACCTGAGGCTGTGTTAAAACGGGGTCATGTGAATCGCTTCTCAAAGGGTTTCACCGAAGCGTGTGGAAAGCAACGAGCACAAAGAGTCTGCCAAGCGAATAGAAACAAATACAGTGGAATTGGCAGCTTTAACTGGATGAAATACGACAACCTACCAAAGACAAAGTGCCTGTCTGCCTGTCCAGGTGTGTGTGTGTGTGTGAGAGATTAATTCAAAGTGCTTTTCTTCTAACTGTGGTTCTCAACTGGTTGGCTATGACACAAAAATAGGTTGTAAGTAGTCCCAAGAAAAAAACAACAAAACCTAATAACACACAATCAGAATTTAGCTCCAACCCTAAACAAAAACATACCTACCTGAAGTAATCCTGAAGACTTTGTTTAGATTTGTGAGGTGTGTTTGATTAGAATTGGAGCTAAACTCTTTGCCCACCCTGCTGTTAAGCGAAGGTTGTGCGGAAAGCCCTTATATGGAGATGCTTTGGGTGTGTTTTATGCAAATGACTAACCTTGGGTTTGTGGTCAGTCATTTAGAATAGCCTACTACAAATTTATTAACAATAGAATAAAGGCCTGTTCACACCGGGACGAATTTCGCGTGCGATATTCGCCGACGTTTAACGCCTCGTGACTGAACAAAGGGCGCCGCACGAAAAGCGCCACGCGTAAAAGTGTCGTTTTTTAAAAAACGCCTCGGGTTCGTTTTTCTGGTTTGACGCGCGCGTCAAAAACTATCCAACCAATGAGATTGGCGCTTTTGCTCACGTGTCTGGGGCTTCTGAAGTTACAGTAAAACACAACTTGGGGGCGCTCAAACACAAAACGGTCTTGCCGAGCACACATACGTAGCGGCGAAGAAGATATACGCCAAGTAGCGTCTACACTGCCGGGGAGAAATAAGACGAGGAAGATGCGAGGCAAGATGAATGTAGAGCTGCTGGTCTCGCTGGTGTCGGAACATAAAGAACTATATGACAAACGCGACAGCGACTATGATTTTGACAAGTGCGTAAATACCGTAAATACTTGTGACAAGTGACAAGCGAGTGTCAGAAGCGTAAAGTTGCGCAGCGCCACCTTGTGTACCGGGGTATTTCTGTTTTACATTAAGCGCCATCTAATGTCAGGGAATGAATTTGCATGTTCCCTCGGCTCATCGTCAGCGAAAATCGCTTGGGTGTGAACACAAAAACGCGTTAAAAAACGCTGGCGAATAACGCGTGCCGATATTCGTCCCGGTGTGTACGGCCCTTAAGGTTAATATCAAATTCTTGTGTGTATGCACTAGGGGTTGCTCAGACTAGTCAACATGTCGATTTTAATTCTCTGCCATGAAACTTCAAGCTTGACGTTGTTTGACGTTGACTAGTCGCTGATCACGTTATTTTGACACGAACGCTATATCTTTTCTAACTGATCAGAGTTAAGATTTTCATATAAATTACGATCAAATCTGACTGACTGTACAAAAACACTGACTGTAATACTAATGCTGTCCTATAGGGGGCCACAGGATAATTAATCTTTAAAGTCCACTCTAACGCTCAGTTACCGTTAGTTCAAATGACAAATAAAAGCATACTCTGAGAGCGCTTCACTAGTTATATTTGTTTATACCATCTGAATAGTTGATATTGATATCAAACACTTAAAAGTGGACTTTTTTTATTTCGTTCAACCCCTAGTATGCACACGTTGTGAATCTGCTGACATTTTTTGGAAGAATTGTCCTGTGTGTCCTTTCTTCTGAATTACTTATGAATCAGACCCAGTGTTTGTTGTCCAGTCAAATTAGGTCCTAAAGAAAAACTAGTTGAGAACCACTGGTTTAGTCTGGTTACACACTGATATAATTCAATTTCCTCCAAATTCTGGCAAACTTTCTTCTAATACTAAGTGGAAGTTACAAATATCGGTCTGTGCCCCATGCACATTGACTTTTAAAAGATTACTATGGCTAAATCTGCCAAAGCCATCAAGCTTATGCTCTTTAATTGGGATTAAGGTAACCAGCGTGGTTGTCTATTTCAAGCTGTTAAGGCTCTGCTGACTATTTCTGTCAGGTTTAAAGCCTCATATATACAAGCACACAGAGAGGGAGGAAAGCGGCCTATTTTTAATTAAATGAAAGATGCAAATATTTCAGCCATTGCTGTTCTATTCATGTAAACTAAGAGTCCCACTGCCTTTCACAGCACAGGAGGTTCAGTACTAAACTTACTAGATGTTAGTGCAGTGAATCTAAAGGCCGGACACAAGAGCAGTGTGGTTGCGCAGAATGCAGAAACATGCATGATTAGTGAAGTTTACATGAGCAATATACCTTTGAGGAAAAGAGCCGCAGGAGCTTTTGTCCACACAGGAAACAAACAACAAAAAAAATTAGAAATTGAAAAGAAGAAAACAAACACGAACAAACCAACAACAACAACATAAAAATAGACATACAATATAATATAAAGAAGGCTCTGAGATATACATAGACATAGAGGAAGGAAGGGGTGCAAGACAGTATATCTTAACAGGTTCACTGCATGTTGTTAAAATACAGAATAAAAATGCTCGTTTTTAAGAACACATTTGCAAAGTGCAAGGATGAATTTAAAAATACTATCAAAAATACAATTAAGTACAGTATATTTGGCATGGCTCATCCGATCAGATTTTACAGCTTTGGAAACAGACATTTCTTATAAACGTAAAGTGCAAATCGGCAAACATTAAATACCAAACAACAAAAGAAGAACATGATCATCCGAGGAGGAGACCGACACTCTTCCACTCTGCATAGATCAAAACACTTCTTCAGCAAAAACTTGTTGTCATTTTATTTGATGAGTTTTTCTTCAGAGTGTGCCTTTGACTGGTAACCAATCTGTCGAATGTGGTTTGAAAATCCGCCTAACATTTTAAACCCCAAAATCAAATAAGACATTTCTGGCAGCCCTTTAATCATCTGAAAGTGGAACGACCCCGTTTTCTGAGATCAGCCCTCCTCAAGCTACAGAAATGAGCACCACGCTGAGATGAAAATCTAAGACTGCTCTTCAAACCTGCTGGCGAAATGATTCGGATCAAGGACATCGCTGCTCAGCGACACTGTTTACCAGAGGCTGGCAAAGCTGACCACATCTGGAGCAAGTTTCTAGCGTGCACACTATAGCTACGTTCCAAAACCTAGTGAGCTTTCTCATTGTGTATCACCTATATAGGCATGTCGGAACCTTATGGACAGCAACTAATGATCTTAGGTGCATCACAAATAGCTTTCTTCACACAAAGTACACGAGAGACTCATCTAGCACTTAAAGATGATTCCTACAGAGTTAACAATAAAGCCTTAACAAGTTGGGAAGCTAACAACACAAAGCTGTACTAAGAAGGATCACATACATAGATTACAATACATACAGACTACAATATCACATGCCGATTACAATACACAGCACACATAAACACTTTTAACAGTCCAGCCGGGACTAGTTTTTCAATTTGACCAATTCTCAGTAAACTACAGAATATACTCTTCCAGTCAAAGGTTTGGACACAATTACGTTATTATTTCTATTTTCGACATTTGAATCCTCAAGAATATAACCGTCCACTGTCAGGCCAAACCGTTCGAGTTGCTTAACCGTTCCATTACATGCCGATCCGGTCCAGCCGGTTAGTCTATATAATGCACCTTGTTGTTGAAAAAGAAAGATACTAGGCTTATTTAATCATTTATTTGAATTTAAAAAAAAGTTGTAAAACCCAAAATATGAATTATTGTCAATGGCAGGTAATTTTGATGTAATGGGTTATACAGAGACTGCGTTACAAGATTTGTAAATCCAAATTGTATAGTCCTAGAAATGTAAATTATGCTTACTGTGAATAAAAGCAAACCAAAAAACCGTGCTAAGAATTTCGGTCAGAGAACACTTTGTCATTGTGCAGTGCTGAACCAAGCTCAAGTGGAAATATAACTATAACCTTAGCGTTCTTAGAACGGTTTGGCCCAACGGTGGAACAGAGACTTATGATTCCAGCTCTTTACAATCAATATTCCCAACCAACTAAAGGTATATAATGTGATTCTATTTAAACAGTACTGAAGGAATTCACATTGCTGGATACTTTTTGGCTGTGCTATAAAACTAGTTATACGCATTTAAGTACCTTAACCTCACACAGTCTAAGCAGCTCACTAACTTGTGGAAGAGTGCTATGATTTGGCGTACTCAATCCTTGACCCTAAAATACTAACAATTGCAGTTCTCAAATAGGTTAATCTAAAATACTTACAACACTGGTAGTAAATACACTTTATAATCTTGCTGCACTGTAGGTGATAATGTGAATTGGAAGTGTACTCACAGGATTTTTCTTCTTCTTGTCTTTTTTTGCGCTGGGCTTGCGGTTGCTCACAAAGTAGTGGAGCATTCCGTACTCAATTAGAGCGGCGAAAACAAAGATGAAGCACACAGACACGAAGAGGTCCATAGCTGTGACGTACGACACTTTGGGTAAGGACTTCCGAGCAATGGTACTCAAAGTGGTCATGGTAAGCACAGTTGTGATTCCTGGGGAACAAAGTAAATAACACTGAAATAAGAGCATGGACATTTCAACATCTGTTGCATGTGGATTACTGAGGTTACATCTGTGGTATTTATCTTTCACACGGCTGGTCCACGCTTGTGGTTTGGATTTTAATTCCTACTGGACAACAATTCAACCACTCATTTAAGAGACAACGTAAAACAAGTTATTACATTTAAAAAACATTTTTATATTATTATTCTGAAAATATTAAATAATAAGATAATGTGAATGTATAAATACTGCATGTTTACTATTAATTAATTAAATTAAATGAATTTTAAATGTTAATGAGTGTAACCAACTAAATTGGTCAGAACCCACAAGATATTAATTTGGATTCTTCATAAAGCTCCTTTTTGAAGAGATTTTGGGGTAAATTAGTTCGTAATTAGACACGTAAATTAGTTCTAATCTCCTAGAATCTAGAGCTGCGCATTCGAGACAGAACATAGCCTACTGTATGTGCGTCAGCGCCAAACCGTGTAGCGCGGATAGAGAGGGAGAGAGCGAGAGACCTTGCCTGTGAGATACACCCCCCCCCCCACCCCCCCCCCCCCCCCATATAGTAATATGTCCCGCATTTTTCTTTTCGGAAGTTGGCAACCCTAATTACAAACTACACTTACAGAAGATACAGGGTATTAAGAAAGTATTCAGACCCCTCCATTTTTTTCAGATTGTATGTTGGAAGCCCTTAAGGGAAAAAATGCTTTATTAATTCTACACAATCTAAACTAAAATGTGCAAATGACTGACTTGAAGTGAAGTTTGATCCCCACTGAAAGATGAGAAAACAAGATGTAGAGGGGTTTTAGAAAGCAGCCTACTTGTAACATGAATCTTTAATGTGATTTTAAATTGTATTTTTTAAAACCACTGACAACACCTGAGCAGTTTAAGTAAACACGCTAGATCCTTGCTCATTCAAGGATGCTCTTTTATAGCCCTTACAGAAAAAACACATGAATTTCACATGTTATCACATGTTTTCCACATGTGCCCACATGTGACCACATGTGACCACATATGCCCACATGTGACCACATATGAACAACATGTCATCACATGTGAACAATGTTTCACCACATGTGAACAACATGTCACCACATGCAGTAATGTTCGACCACATGTGAACAACATGTCACCACATGCAGTAATGTTCGACCACATGTGAACAACATGTCACCACATGTGAACTTAATGGAACACGTGGCACATGTGGAAAACATGTTATAGGTAATAATGTGGAGCTCATGTGAAATATATTTGCACGTTGTAATAGGTTTTAACATGTGAATTATGTTACCACGTCACAAATACTGTACATTTTTAGCTTCAATAGCCTTTTTCACACAAAATGCATAGAACATAAAGCTTATAATGCATGTGTATATACTAACACTTATATACACGTATAGTTTTTAATGAGTTTTTGCAATACTTTTATTTCAACACTGTTTACCATTTCTAAAGCTATATTGTAAATATATTTTACATAATCAACAGTATATTATATTTGATATAATCAATAGGCTACTGCAAGCACGTTTTCAAATAAAATAAAGTGGATATTAAACTTTTCATTTTAAGTGCTGCATGATTTTGACGTGGTTTAATCAATGCCGTGCGCGTGAACTTTCGAGTATTTCAAACACTGGAGCGGCCGGCGCGCAGAGTTGCCATGGAAACGGCGCGGGACCACTGCTACTGGTAAGCAACAAAACTCCCTCTCTCGATGTTGTTTAAACTTTTCACGGCTTTTTCCAGGTGAGATTAGTCTCTAAAATCACACGAATAATACTCACAACTGTTTTTGACATTTCTCTTACTTGTAATTGACACGATTCTGTTAAAAATTTACATGGTGTAGTGTCTTCGGAAAAAGTCCGTTAGGATCTCAACCGTTTTCTGAAGAGGTAGCAGCTAGCTAGGCTAACGTAATGTTAACTCGGTTGAACTTTTATTTATTAAAGTTTGGGCTTTTAATCACCTCTTATGTGTAGATGAGAGGTTTTGTAAAGGTTTTACTTGGAAGTGAGCTAATTTATTTAACACAAACGTAAACATAACGTATCGGTGATGTTACTTTCAGGAGCAAGAAAATTGGCTGAAACTAACGTTAGCTCAATGGTAACGTTAAACACATTTTGATTAAAAAATGTTCTGTGATTTCAGTAGTAACAAAATAACCCATAACAGAGAGAAAGCTCCACGACTTCAACATTTCTGGAGAAAGCTGCTGCCGGAGAAGTAACGTTAGGACACAGGTGAGCCGAGGAAGCTCATTAAATAACCTCATTTTATTTCTCAACTTGTTTTTTTAAATTGTTTATTTTAAGAAGGTTTTGACATCCAAACGAAGTTACACCGTATGAGCAAAATTAAATGAATAAGTAAACCCAAAAACAAATTCTGTTATCCTAGTTAAGAAATTATATTCTGTATATTCTTTAAATTCTTTCTCTTTTCTGCATTTCACCTCTGCTGTAGCTTCTTTCCTTTCAATAAACCTGGCATTGCATTGTTGGCTCAGTGACAAATGGCTTGTTGTGTTCTTAGATCCTTCAGTGCTGATGCCCTTCAACGGAGCGGAGTGGAGCTGATCTTCATCTCTAAAGCACTATTGATGAACCATATGATTAGTAAGTAAAACGCCAAACATACACTAATGTCAAACATACACTAATTGTCTTGGTACAAATGTTTATGTCTCTTTCTCTTATGTTCACCAAAAAACATTAAAAACAATAATATTGTGAAATAATATAAATAAATAAAAACTGTTTTCTATGTGAATATATTGTAAAATGCAATTACTTCCTATGATCAAAGCTGAATTTTCAGCATCACAGCTTCACATCATCCTTCATAAATTATTCTAATATGACGATTTGATGCTCAAAAAAACATTTATGATTATTATCAGTGTTGAAAACAGTTGTGCTGCTTCATATTTTTGTGTTTTTCAGGATTATTTGATGAATAGAAAGGTTAAAATAACAGCATTTATTTGAAACAGAAATCCTTACTCTCTCTTTTGATCAATTTAATGCATCCTTGCTGAGTAAAAATATGAATTTCTTCTTTTTTTTCTGTTCATTTTTAAATCTATCATTGACCCCAAATGTTTGAACATTAGTGTAAACTACCCTTCATATGTTTGTGGTCTATTTAACAATGAATCCTGGAGGGGAAAAAATGGTTTAAACTGTTACAATGGTTTACACAAACACATTAATCAGCACAACTGTTTTCAACATTGATAATAATCAGAAATGTTTTGGATGTTTACATGGTAAGAATGTATAGAATTCAAATATAAAAAACACTGACTCGTTAGGTCATGTTTACTCATTAAAGTCAGATGATTTCCTATTAATTCAATAGAATATGGTGACTTCAATTTACATGACGTCATGAGCAATCAAGTCATTTATATAGATCAGTGAGTAGTGCCCAGCATATCCAAGTCCACTAAAGGAGATTTCTCGCATTTTACCCCTAAACTCTGGAATATGAAGGTAAAAGAGTATCAAGACTCGAGCATGAACAATAAATACTTGTATGCTAAAATTTACACTCACAGCTCCAAAGTGAAAACCTCACCTAATATGCAATAACGTTGAAAAGATCACGGTTTCTGTCCTGACGAAAATGTTCTATTTTTTATTTTATTTTTTGCTTTGCAGAACAAGTCTGTGACTGACTTAATGAACCCAGTTGCTTTGGATCATGCTCAAAGATGTAAGGGCTACAAAAAGTTAACCAGAACTCTTATGGACTCCATCTTCTCTTTCGAAGAGATGGCAGCATGAACGGAAAAAAAGGGGTTGTTGGTGAAAAAAGAGCCTTGACCTACAAAAGGTGCAGCTAATAATTGGTAAGCATGTCTGAATATCTTTTATCAATAGTTATTATATATGACAAGCGCTGAGCGCGTCCGTCAGCGCCAGCCATAGCGCGGAAAGCACAGTTTGAATCTGACAGTTATGTCACTTCATGTCAAACTTGTTTTCAAATTTTAATGTAATCAATCTCATTTCTTACAGACCATGTCAAAAAGAGGCACCCAGGCATCGGAGGCACTGAGATCAAGGTCTGCATGGCACAAAAGTTAAAAGATCTGAGGAGACGAGCAGAAAGGTAATATTCAGACGATCCAACATCCAAGTGTGATCCCCATGTGGTCTGTTCACATTTGCGAAACCGACATGCGCGAGGACTGATGACTCAGTTTATTCCTCAGTCTACATTGTGATCTAATCACAAACTGTCAATAGTTTTTTTTATAAATGAGACGCACCACTCGTCTTATACAGTTGTTTAAGCAAGATGTATTTCCATAGCATATTTACGTAAAACGTTTAATGACATAATAACATTACAAATGAATAATAATTAATTATTAAGCCCCATAAAAATGCTTTTCAGAAACCTACGGGGTGACGTCACGGACACTACGTCCATATTTTTTTTTACAGTCTATGGTTTGCACTGCCCTAATCTTTGATCTTTTTCTATCCCAAAACAGGATGCCTGCTGCAGGAGACACAAAGGACTGAGACAACACACTTTCACAAACGCACACCACACACACACACATGCGCGTATACCTGCGTTTTTTGCGGCTTTTTATGTATAATTTTAATTTGGTTTTGCTTTGTTTGTTTTAAACATTCAATTTGTATTGCATATTTTGAAATGAAATAAAAAGTGAAAAAAATTTTTTTTTGAATTATTTGTTTTAATGTTGGGAAACATTAGGCTATAGAGCCTACACAAGAACATGGTAGGCCTACCGTTTTCTGTGGTATATTGCTTAATGATTTTTACATGGATTTCACATGAAGTTACAGGTTTACATGGTGTGTAGCTTTAACATGGATTGTTGATGGGTTTCAAATGTCATTCTATGGGTTTCACATGAGATATTTTACATTTCACATGATATCTCATGGGTTTCACATGTGATTAAATGTTTCACATGGGAATTTTACGTTTCACATGTAAGCTCATGGATTTCACATGGGAATTTTGGGTTTCACATGCAATCCCATGGGTTTCACATGTAATCACATGGGTTTCACATGCAATCACATGGGTTTCACATGCAATCCCATGGGTTTCACATGTAATCACATGGGTTTCACATGCAATCCCATGGGTTTCACATGTAATCACATGGGTTTCACATGTAATCACATGGGTTTCACATGGGTTTCACATCCCATGGGTTTCACATGTAATCACATGGGTTTCACATGCAATCCCATGGGTTTCACATGTAATCACATGGGTTTCACATGCAATCCCATGGGTTTCACATGGGAATATACATGGGTTTCACATGAAAATGTTCCAAAACCACACGTTTCCCATGTGCAAATTACCTTTAACATGTGCAAAGCACATGTGTTCCACATATTTCACATGTTAAATTTCACATGTGCAAAATCACATGTCCACGTTGTCACATGGGATCACATGTGTTTTTGCACATGTGAAACTCATGTGGTTTTTCTGTAAGGGAGCACAATTGAAGGAAAAACAAAAGACATACAGTGCCTGCAAATCTCCAAGCCATTTAAGAGATGACAAGGCCAATAGCAATACAGACTTAAAAGTCAGAAGCTTATCTGAAGCTAAATCCAATGGCTAAAAATGAGGGTTTGTCAAAGCCTCCAACACCACAGATATATGCCAAAACAGAATGCTTACCAGGCAGAAAATTCTCAAAAGTCTCCAGCACTGAACCTACAGGCCAGTGAAATATAAAGTTCTGTCATAAAACTCTAGATGGTCCTAACTCAACCTGCTCGTAATCACATCATTATCTATAGGGCACAGCTGATTGGTTCCCGCTGTATCAGTAGCCAAGGAGCTCACTTGCTCAACCTTCAAATACAAGGGTAGCATTTGCCTTAGAGTTGCAGCGTGCTTTCAGAAACCCTCCACCTTCCCCAGCTCCACCTGTATAGATCTGCTACGGGTAATTCATGTATGCTATATTTTACAGCAGCAGCACGAATTACTTGCTCACAGCAGCGTGTCTGTGTATGTATTGGCAACAGCAATAACCTACAACAGCGATAAAATCAGCAGCAGTGTAGCAGATCTATTCCACCAAGACCAAACATATCAACATTGTCATATCCATTAAACACTCTGAGATTTGTCATGACAGAACTTGATCTAGACCCAGTGTTGCTGGAGGAGTCAGAGAAAACCAAAGGGATCTCTGAGACTCTGAATGTCTGCCAAATCAGGCCCACATGAATGAAGCCTCCACTTCCCGGGCCTCAGCCCATGTCTCGACAGCAGGTCTGCCCCCCTCATTCAGACTTCCTGAAATGTGAACTGCCCTAAGAGAAAAGGGAACTTGCCTTGCGACCAAAGCAGAATGCAGAGACTGACCTAGACAACGCACCCTGTGTTGAGCCAAGCAGAGGCAAAAAGACTGAACACATGGAGGAGACAATCATACCTGCATCGTGCAAGAAACCAGGATCACTCCTAGAAAGGTCTTTTGCTGCCTCTGCAATAACACACTCTTCTGGCTGTTTAACCTCAAACCCATCCTTAGCAAATGACAGAGAACTAAGTCCTGACGCCGACCCACCAATTCCTGTGATTGTACTAAAATTAGCTAATTGCCAAGGTAATTTAGAACTGTGGCAGAAGGAAGTGGAGTGAAGTTAGCAACGGGAGAGCGAGTTTAGGAGCAGAGCAGTAAGAAAATGGGTCAACTCTCTGATAACTAAGTGTTTCCTCTCTCAGGAACAGACAGGGAGAGAGAATTTAAGCTGACTGCCTATTTGGTATGGGGAAAGATAGACAAGCCTGACTCAAAAATAATAATAATACTGAAACGCTGATTTTATTGTGCTATGCACATTTTTCTTTTCGTCTGTAAATTAAGCAAATGAAAATTCTCTCGTCGGCCCTGACTTCTACTTCCCACATCTTCAATCTTGCTAAATATGCACAACCCGGGGCCAAAACGGGGCAAGAACCATGTCCATTTATTTTGTAAACATCTGGGAAGACAAGGCCAGGCCAAAAAAAGAACACGAAACTGGTACGCCCTAAAGCAAACCATAGAAACTTTGGTAACGCTTCCTTTTACAGTCCTGTTACCCATGTACTTACTATGTACTTATTATAGTAATTATAATTACTGGGTAATAACTAGGTACTAACCCTGAACCTACCCCTAAACCTACCCCTAACCCATGTACTTACCATATATTAGCCAGTACTTTCTAGGTAAGTACACTGTAAGTACACGTAAGTACTGTACTGTAAAAGGAAGCGTTACCGAAACTTTCTGTGTCTGAACGCTGTCTTCTGAAACTGAACACACTGAGCATGAAATTCAGAGGACGCAAATCCAGAATAGGATGCAGACCTTCTATCTTTATCGTAACCAGAAAGTACTGGCAAAAGTTAGTTTGACTTTGAGGAGGAGACACCTCCTCTATGCCTCTTTTTTTTCTTTAAAAAATCTAGTCAAGTCACATTTATTTATATAGCACTATACAATGCAGATTTCTTTCAAAGCAGGTTTACAGTGATAAACAGTAAAATAATGATTCAATGGTGCAAATAGAATTTAATTCTGCTGTAAAGTAGCTCTAAAAAGACAAGAGTAAACAGTCATTATTCATTTGAAATCAGTTCAGTGTTGTAGGGGTGGAACGGTACACAGAAGTCACGGTTCGGTTCATACCTCGGTTCAGACATCACGGTTCGGTACGATTTCGGTACAATGGAGGGAAAAGCAAAACAAAAATGCAGAAGGCATTGTATTTTTTAAATAAGTTTTATTAATAAAGGCATAGAACCAGTTTATGCACTGACAATAGTTTTATATAATTAGTTTATTAATTAAATTAATAAAAAGACAAAAAGACCTTGCGATATGTTTGGTAATTGTACGTGAATTAATTTAAAATTATTTTGCTATATTTCAGATCAATATATTTGTTTTCCTTAATTTTAATTAACATTATGAATTGACAATGTAACATTATTCTCATCTGAATTATAAATAATTGATTTCTGCATGTATAAAATAATACTACCATTAAAAACATTCAATTTTCTTTTTTTAATCAATGTAGAATGTGTAAGATTAGTGCTCCGAGGACAAGAAATGAAAACCAATGCAATATGACGAATGTCCAAAAGATGGGACCCACTGACTGTTTTGAAATGGAGTTGGATAAATATGTTTTGCTTTTAAAACAGTGTGTGTGTGTGTGTGTGTGTGATTTTGGTTGGGTGACAGTTGTAGGTTACAGTTTGACAAGAGTTTACAGTGTGACAAAAGCACAATGTTGTGTTTTATTGCGAGTGTACACAAATATAAGTTAACACTTTGCAGGTTTAATGATCTGTATGAACAAAATGACGGAGTAGGTTTATTATGTTTCCACTGTTCGATCTCGCGCCTCTCTCTCTCTCTCACACACACAGTTCGATCGCGCCCGCGCGCTCTCTCTCTCTCTCTCTCTCTCTCTCTCTCTCTCTCTCTCTCTCTCTCTCTCTCTCTCTCTCTCTCTCTCTCTCTCTCTCTCTCTCTCTCTCTCTCTCTCTCACTCTCTCTCTCTCTCTCTCTCTCTCCCTCTCTCCTCTCTCTCTCTCTCTCTCTCTCTCTCGCTTCCGGTGTGAGTGTTGGGAGTGTGTGTGTGAGAGCTAAGCACGCTGCTCAGAGTGAGTGTGGAAAAAGTGGTTTCTCTTTGTGATACAAATGGTTTCTTAATTTTCTTTCCCCTCGGTAGTTAAAGAGACAAAATAATAATAAAGTTGAGAGATAAAAAAATAAATAAAAATAAATAAAAGTTGTTTGTTCGTCATTTTTAAGATGCCGGTATGGCGTCTGTTCCTATTCAAGGAACGCAAGGCCTGTCGCTTCGGAACGGGTGCAGGTGTGTACCAGAACCTGGGGTGACAGTGGAGGAACTGCTCCTAGTCGTCGGAGAGCAGGTAGGGTTTGAGAATATCATCTCGGCTTCACGTATGAACAAAGCTGTGGTTGTGTTTTTAAAAACGGAAATATTGATCAATAAATTGACCGTGAGCGGAGTATGGGTAAAAGGAACTTTTGTTACAGTAACCCCTCTATCTGCCCCGGCGACGAAAATTATAATCTCAAACATCCCGACGTTTATCTCTAATGATGTGATAATGAAGGAATTGCAGCGATTCGGAAAAATGGCAAGCCCTGTGAAACTTATTTCACTGGGCTGTAAAAACGCTGCGTTAAAACATGTGCTTTCCTTCAGAAGACAGGTTTATATGTTTTTGAGTTCGCCGGAACGTAACTTAGACGTGTCTTTTCGTGTAAACCATGGAGAAAATTCATACATGGTTTATGCAAGCGCGGAGAACTGGAAATGTTTTGAATGCGGAGAAATTGGGCACAAACGCGGCGTATGCCCTAAAAAAAACGAACAGATAATTCCCGCGGCTCAAGATGAAATAAAAAAAGCTGATCATCAGAGGAATGATAGACAAGGAAATGAGGAGAAGGATGGAGGGGTAACAGAAGAGGTGAACGAGCAGAACGAGGTGATTGAGAATAATGTTAATAACGAGAACGTGCAACCTGGATGCAGTGCTGCTCCAGATAGAACTGAGAATGAAACTACTGATGTTATTGATGACAATGGGGAACAGAGTAGTGTTGAAAATGTACGTGAGATTAACGATGAATCGCAGGTTGGAGGCTCAGAGGAAAAAATGGATGAGGAGGTGGATAACTTGTCTCAGTGTACTGAGGATGGAATGAAGGATAGCGAGGAGTGGTTAAAAAGAATGGATGAAAGAGACTTGTATACTGTTGAGCAAATTAATTCTTTTCTTAATGCAACAAAAGGAAAATCAGGAGTAGAAATAGGTGATTTTTTCCCTGACACTGATAAATTTGTTGTTTCTGTGATGAAGGCCAGGAAAGTGAGCAGTTATGAGGAGCTCTCACAGCAAAAGAGGCTTAAAAAACATTTAACCTCGGTAAGACAAAGCAAAAAGAAAGGAAAGGGAGGACTAACGAGGGGAAACACATAAGAAATCATGTTGTTTAACAATGCTCTCTTTTACCTTTCCTGTTTTCCTTTTCTCTTTATTTTTCTCATGAAGGGCATGCAGGTGGGATCCCTAAATGTGAATGGAATGAGGGATGGGAGGAAAAATAATGTATTATCAGAATTAATTTTTACAAAAAATGTAAGTGTTGTATTTTTGCAAGAAACTCACAGTGACCAAAGTAATGAAGTTGACTGGGATTTATGGTGGAAAGGAGAGAAAGCTCTTAGTCATGGTACTAGTGTAAGTGCTGGAGTGGCAGTGTTATTTTCTCCTGTGATAAAAGCAAAAATAATTTCAAAAAAAGAGTTGCAACCAGGAAGATGTTTAATTGTAAGGGCTGAAATTAGTAATCTCCATTTTCTGTTTGTCAATATTTATGCACCAAATATAGGAGCAGATAGAGTACAGATTTTTAAAAAATTAGATCACTTTCTAAAACAGCAGCAAGATGATGATTTTATTATTATGGGTGATTGGAATTGTACCTTAAATTTTACTCTAGACAGAAATGGGGAAGAACATCATGCACAATCATCTTTCTGTTTAGACCGTATAATTGAAAGTTTGCATTTCTCAGATGTGTGGAGAGAATACAACCCAATAACTCGGCAGTACACATGGGTGAAAGTCACCAATAATAGAGTTTCTGCTGCAGGGTTAGATAGGATTTATGTATCACAAAATATGAGAAATAGAATTTTAAAAACTGCTATAATACCAACAACGATTTCTGATCATAAACTCATCACAGTTGAAAGCTCATTAGAAAGAACAAATCGTAAAAGCTGCTACTGGCATTTTCAAGTCAAATTATTAGAAGATACAAAGTTCTGTGAATATTTTATAGGTTTTTGGGAGACCTGGAAAAGAGAGAAGAATTATTATGAAGATATTACTCAGTGGTGGGAAGTTGGAAAGGTGCATATAAGAAATTTTTGTCAGCAATATACATCTCATTCCTCGTTAGTTTTAAAGAATACAATAGATGGGCTAGAAAAAGAAATTATGGAGATTGAAAAAGACATGATTGAAAGTGAACCAATAATTTTGAAAGAATTGTGGGAGGGGAAAAAAAAAGAACTGAGTTCAATTCTTAATGAAAAGGTCAAAGGAGCGCTTGTGAGGAGCAGGTTCACTGCAATAAGAGATGTGGATGGTCCTACAACTTTCTTCTTTAATTTGGAGCGTAAAGCTGGGCAAGAAAAACGAATGTTCTGTTTAAAAGACACTAATGGACATGACACTTCAGATCCAGTGGATATGAGAGGAATTACGGTTGATTTTTATTCTGAACTGTATGCTGCTGAAAATACAGATGAACAATGCAGGAATGAACTGTTGCATGATCTTCCTAAGATAACTCAAGGAGACAAACTTTCTCTAGAAACTGAACTTAATTTTGAGGAAGTTACCACCGCTGTCATGGGGCTCAACTCAGGCCGTGCGCCAGGACTGGATGGATTACCTGCTGATTTTTATAAGACTTTT